AAAGAAATGATAAATGTTTAAGGAGACTGAAATGATTACCCTGATTTGATCAATATACATAGTGCCACATTATACATGTGCCAAATATTCAGACTGTAACCCCACAGAGATGGTAAATTATTATATGTCATTTTAAAAAAATAATTAGCAATGCCTCGGTCATTACAATGAAAATATGGCTCAAGAAACATTCCAGCACGTGCACATGTTCGTGCACACACTCTTAAGAACAGTCAAACTCAAAGAAACATCTTAATTTTTCACTGGGCATGGTCACACACTGAAATTCCTCTGAGAGAATGAAGCAGGGAGATCACAAGTTCAAATCTAGCCTGTACAACTTATCTAGAGATCCTGTCTCAAAATTTAAAAGGGGTGGGGATGTAGCTCAGTATAAAGGCCCTGGTTCAATCCCAGTACATTTCCCCGCTATACACAACAGGATAGGTCCTGCCTCAGCTTTAAACGGCTATTCTTTGCAAAAATCCTCACCTTACCGGAGAACCCTAAATTGAAAGATCTTTCGTTTATTCAATGTTATAAGTCATTATGAAAACCAAGTAAAAGCAGTTTTGGATACCTGGGCATTCATATCCAACATTTTAAAGGTAATCTTTAAATGGGAAGATAAAGAAATCCTCCTTATAGCTAAAGATTCATTAAGAAATCCAAAGTAACAACATGCCGTAAGAATTTGGCATCCATGGGGCTGAGAGGAGAATGACAGGAAGCAGAGAAATCGAAGTAAAAAGGATCAAGATGTGACAGGTATATGTACCAATTTCCCACAATGAATGTATTTATTATGTATCACAAACTAATAATAATAATTTTTAAATTATAGTGTCCAGAAACTTGACTTTTGTTTGGCTTTGCCACTGACTGTGAGATTCTGGACAAGTCATATGTCCTGGTCTGAGTTTCTTCTTCTGTAAAATAAGGAAAATGGACAAGTTAATTTTTTTTTTTTCTGAGCTCTCCTTGAATTTCAATATCCAGAAGAAAAACAGAGCTGCTGAATGAAAAAATTAAGCTTACAGTTACAGAATACAACCCTGTCCCACCAAATACGAACTTTTAAATTTTTTCCATGAAGGAAAATGCTTGAGGGCATTTGCCTTCAGGAAGCAAGGCTGACTGATACAGCCATCAACAGCTGATAAAGAACAGCTAGTGGAGGAGGAAGGCATTAAGACAGAAAGCCTTGGATAAAAGTCGTAATACAGATCTGACCTTGATTGGGCAATGAGGGATTGCAACACAAGAGAAATGAGCTAGAAGGCACAGACTAGGGTAGCAACACAAAACCAAGGGCAAAGGCGGATGCTCTTGGTACATGGATATGATAGCATGCATAATCAGAAGGCAAAAGAGCATACTTCATAGTTTTTTTTGTTGTTGTTGCTGGCATCCTAAATTAACAGGGAAGAGGTAAGTACGTGTAGCATTCTGAAAGTGGCAGGAGCTGACACACAAACACGCGGGAAGAGTGCAGTGCTTCTACCTTGTAAGATCAAAAGAAGCTATGGAGAGGCCAGAAGGAGCATCCCGTTGCAAAATTCTAGACCCTTTAGACACTGAAGACTAGTGGATACCATATAATGATTTGGAGAGGAAAGAAGAGTCTAACCTCAAACTCTCGGACATAAGCCGTGACAGAGTCTGAACAGAGAGATCACTGTTATCTGTACTTTGTGAATTCTTTTTTACTTGCCTGTCAAGAGTGGCGACAGAAGCACTAAGCTCACAGTGCTCAGACAGGCGTTCTTCCTCCTCTCCACCTCCCTTCCATCCCTAACTTAACAACCTATCAATCAAAGGAAGGCAGGAGGAGGCAGGAGCCTGAAGGCTGTCTTGTTTATTCCTCAACATTTCCTCCCTAGTCTCTTCAGCTGGCAGGAAGTATGAGGCAGGAGTGTTTCAACAATTTAGGGCAGCAGCAAGGCTAAGAGCCATCTGTGATCTCTCCTAGAATGCTAGGAAACAGCACAGTGAGCCCTGCCAGAGAGGTGTGATGGAGCAAAAGCAGATTCCATGAAAGGAAATCCATACCTTTGGCTGACAGAAAATTTCCTCAGCCACAGCCTGAGATATCTACCTTGATAAGAGAGATGGCCCTCAGATAGGTAATTTAAATATTCAAATCTCCCTCATTACTAGTTGTCAGGGATAATTCTACCCTGCCTTGCAGACTTCATTGTCTTCTATTTCAAAATAGGTCGCAGTGGGGTGTATGAGAATTCTAGTTTAGATGCTTTCCAAATTTTATGAGTTTCACCTATTAATTCCCAGCTCAGAGTATGCGGTTCTAGATTATACCCAAACATCTATTTTGATGTTTTGGTTCTATTGGCTGTCCCTACAAAGAAGGAATATCCTAAACCAGGCCATAGGCAAGCCTGTATGTCACAGTAAAGAAAACTTTCATCATCAAACAATGACTGAGCATCTGTTATGCCTAAAACCCTAGGGTTCTTGTCTCTCAAGAGCTCCTCCCTGCAAGGCTCCTAACTTTCCTTATCTTTTTCTTTTCTTTCTTTCTTTCTTTCACTTTGCTTGCAGAGGGGTGTGCTTTTGTTTTTTTGAGACAGGGTCTCCCTTTGTAACTCAGGCCTGCCTTGAACTCACTGTGTAACCCAGGCAGGCCTTGAACTTGTAGCAACCCTCCTGCCTCAGCCTCCTACATGCTGGAATTAAGAGGCATGTGGCATCACACTCAGCTCTTTCTTTTTTTGCGGAGCTGGGGATCACACCCAAGGGTTTGTCCTTTGTAGGAAAGCACTTCACCACTAAGCTACAATCCTAGCCCCTCTTTCTCTCATCCATTCCAGAAATGCTCTCTCCCTGGCACAGTGTATTTTCATCTCTTAGCAAATTCCAAACACTTATTTCAATAATTATTTCACTGGCAAAGGCAACATGATAAAACAACCCCAGAACCAGTGTATTCAAAAGGGTTGAAGGAACAAAGGAAGGGCTGAGAAAGCAGGTTCTTGCTCATGATAACATCAAAGTATACTGCAAATTTTCTGCTTTCAAAAGTACTTTCCAGCAATTTTATTTTCCTCCAAAAATTAAGTGCCATCTCCCTTTTCTCCTTCACTCCACTGCCCCATGCTCAGTCTCTTAGGGAGACAAAGCCACATTATTAAGAGGCAAAACTCCTTGGCACCGTGGTGTATTGTTAGCTGAATGTATTGCACCTTTCAGCCCAATTATAGTCTGAAGGGCAGCTACCCAACCAATCCCTGCACCTATACAAGAGAAAATGGGTTCCATTTGCTTCTCTGTTGGAGACCATCATGGACATTGAGACTTAAATCCAGTATGAAGCTAGCCAACATTAAGCCTTTCACCCATAAACTACAACTGGGCTTAGAAGATTGCAATGTAAGTATTGTAATAGAAAAGTAAATGAAAGCCACCCTCAGATGTGCTTTTCAGCACAGGAAGAACAATGATTACCAACACGGATATATGGCAAGGCTTCCTCAGGCCATATGTAGGGAAGTGTCTAACGGGCCTGGAACAGAAACAGGAACTCCTAGTACTCCTAGGCCTCTTTAAAACAGTATTATCCATCTGCACCCCAGAGAAAATGGCAAATCCCAGCCAGCACAGGACGAGCCATGCCACTAACCAGCTGCAACTTTACTCCAGTGAGGTGGACTACAGCATCTGCCACCTGAATACAGGCAGCCTCTCTGGCAGCTGCCACTGGTAAAGGGGAATAAGCTATTGTGTTAGTAGAAGAAATCCACAGCTCTGTTACCAGAGAAGCCCAGCTGTTGCTGAAGAAAGCTACAGATGTGCTGGAGGCTAAAACCAAAATACCTACAGCAAAGAAAGCACAAGCTACCACTAAAATCCAGGCACTAAGGGCACCACCACCCAAACATACACATCCAGCCTTTATTTATTAACACTTACATATGGAAATAGGTATTCCCTGCTGCAGCTGATGTAATTACAGAGAAATCAATTTATACTGCATCTGCTGGGATCAGCTGAAAGCACAGGATGAGCTGAGCACAGAGCAGAAAATCAAGAGGCAATGAGCAGTTCATCACCAGGCCAGCTGCTTTGTAGGAAACTGGAAACTGCTGAAGATGAAGGTAGCCTGAGCTGACCCTAGATTCGAAATTACTAGCCCTACAAGCTCCATTTCGTGAGACACCAACAAAGATCATCATCTTCCCAGAGGAGGGACATAGTTCTAACCCCTCCTGGGGCTGCAGGCACCTATCCTTCCAAGGCAAGCAGAAGGCAAGGTATTGTTATACTATCTTGCAGTGATAAAACCACCAGGAGACACTGATTCCCAATTGCAGGAGGTACCTGGCAAAGGGCTATACTTTTTCTGTGGCCACAGAATCCTTCTAGGCCAAACTGTCACAGCCACAACAGTAACTCGTAAGGCCTGAGCAAGTTCTTCGCAGCACAGTTAGTGCCTCCTGCCCCTCACTTACCAGCCCAGACGCTGTGTCCTATTGCTCTTCGGTAGCCACCACAGAACGCTTGCTAGATAACCCCATGAAATTTAATTAACCTTTTTTCCAGACACCCAGCAGTACCATTTATCCCATTAAGACCAGCACTCAACCTGTACATATAAGCAAAGGTCTATTAAGTGTGTCAACTATTATGACTTTGATGATGAATGTCAATCAAACAGGAAACCACATAAAGGTTTGATGTCAGCCTCTCGCAACGAACATCTGAGATGGGACAATGACAAGGTAGGAGAAAATTCACACTACCAAGAAGCTACCCCAAACAATAGATATGCTATTCCAAAATGTCCAGGCTTGCCGTAAATGGGTCTGTAGGGAATCCTCTAATTTGGAATAAAACCACATTATCATTACCAGCTGCTCTGACCTTGTAATTGGTCATTACCCACAAACTAATGAGCCTCCCACAGAGTGCACACAGCATTTGGTGGTTAATCCAGGGCAGTTTTGACTAGCAGTGGGCAGCCAGATCTGGCCACCTCTTACCTTTTCAGACTTGACTTTCTTTAGCGGGCGACACTCATTCTCCCCTTCCTCTGGCTCCGGTTTAGCTCCCAAAGGATTGAGCGCTGCCCCAGGCTCAATAGCTATACTCCCAAGTGGCTCCACAGCGCCTGTATCCACCCCCGCACTTCCATCAAACTGCCCACCCCGTCCTCCCAAGGCAACTGGCTGGAGGACCCCAGGATCCTTTTCTGAACAAGTCCCCACTCCTTCGCTTCTCTCCTTCTTGCTCTTAGACGAACTGTTCTCCTTCTCCTTTTTGGAGCCGGCTACACTGCGTGACGCCTTAGCCGCCTTCTCCGAGCCCTTGGGAGCAATAGCAGCAACCAGGCCTCCTGCATTGGCACCATCTCCTGAGCGCCCCTGCACCTCTTTCTTGCTAGCTGCCCCCTCACTTGGAGTGAACAAGGAAGTCCCTGGAGTGGGTTTGCTAGTGTCTTTGCCACTCTTATTCCTTTTGGATTTTGATTTGCCTTCCTTCCCTTGAGGACCTGGCACTGGGGTCACAAACTTGATGTTGTCTGGTAGTGTGGCCACAGCATTGGGAGCCGGTATCCCCACCTCCTTTGAGCCTGACATTTCCAGTTTCTGCTGGTCCTTTTCCAGATCGGCGTCCAGGTCAATGATGAGATTCCCTACTCCAATGTCCCATTCATCCCCACTGTCGTATGTCTCAACCGGGTTTGCATCCACTCCTTTCCCTCCGGAGGCTCCACTGCTCAAGGACATCTTAGAGTCAACGTCCCACCTCAAGATTCAAGGCTCTTCCTTGCCCCCAGCTTTCCTATTTTCAGCTTCAGCTATGTTCTCAGACCTGCCACATTGGTCAGTACATGCCCAGTGGACAACATCATTGCTGGAAAAAGAAAATTTAAAAAGCCGTTAAAGGAAACAATACAGGCAAGGAGACAGCCTGAAATAAACTCCCACACAAAACAGACCCTTTCTGTACGGCTATCACATCACAACAGACAAGACAAACAGGTTAAAGTGCATTTCCAACCAACTCACATTGGACCTAGGGAAGAGTTAACTCCCACTCCATCCCAGGAGAAAGCATAGTATTTCCAATTGCCCAGAAAGTCTGTGGTGAGTCTTAACTAGGAGTCCTCTAGAGTTAGTTTTTCTTCCCTTGAGACTTACTTCTACTGCCATGAGTAGCTGGCAATTCTTCCTCAATCAGGATAGGTTAGGTCCTGGCATATCACAGATTCAAGCTCTAGTACTCATACCCCATTTCTCCTTGCTTCTAAAAATGATCTAGCAAAGGTTTTAACAGTCCTCTACGAGTAGGCCCAGTCCCTAGTAAAAACAGTATATGACGAGATTCTTTGCCCTTCTAGTACTGGCAAGAAAAAGCCTAAGTATGGATAAGTAAATAAGAAAAAGCAAGCAGAATTTGGAAAGCTGCAACTTCAGGATAGGGGTAAAGACTGAAACTAGAGGAAAGAATTCCCAAAGAGGACTCACAACTCCTTGAGGCCTGAGAAGTTACATCAGCCTTGTCAAACTCCAGTTCCCTAATCATGTATGAAAAGTAGCATTCAATGTGGTCTTTCCCCCTTCTTATTAAAATACTTTTGGAAGCAGGAATGGTGGCACATACCCGTAATCCTATACTGTGGGAGGCTGAGGCAGGAGAACTGCAAGTATGAACACAGACTCGGCAATGTACTAAGACCGTCTTGAAATTTAAACAATTAAAAATGGACTGGGGATGTAGCTCTGGGCTTAATCCCCAGTGCCAGAGGGGATGGAAAATAAAACAAAACAAACCCACCAGGATGTGGAGTAACTCTGTACTGTACCGGCAGAAACAAGAGGGTTTCATACCACACGAAAGACAGGAGAAAGGCTTGCCTGGCAAGCACAAGGTCGTGAGTTTGACTCCTGGTACTGGAAGAAAAACAAACAAACAAAAAACAAACAAAAGACAGGAGAAAGGGGGCAAGGGAGTAGTAAACGGTAATTTACACCTCTTCAGTGTCCTGACTCACAGTGCCTAGGTTACATGCCATCTAGAAAACCTGCAGTCAACATATACCATCCAAGTTTATTTTAAGACAAAGCCAAAAGTTCTGTTCTTGCTTACTTACTCCTCAGTGCGCCATCTTTCTATACTCATTTAGAAAATAACTTATAGAAGATAAAAGAGCAGAAAGAGCAAACCAGTGGTGTCAGACTCTATCCTGAAAGTGGCTAACAGGTAAGTACTACAGATAGAACAGAAACAAGACAAATTGTGTTTTTAATCTACTCCAGAACAGCGTCAAAGATCCAGAGTACAGGAGCAAGGAAAGATGTCATCCTAGGACAGCAGAGCTGTTTCAGGTGAACGTCTGCTGGCAACTAGGATTTAAGAGAGAGGGGTGGACATTAGTCAGCCATTTAGCTGCAGATTTGAGTAGAAAATATCCATGACCAAAATGGAAAGCTTAATGCCAACAGCATTCAACCACCGTTTATAAAATGTCAAGCTTACCTAGGTCTTACTTTATAAAGGCTGAACAAAAGGGGGGGGGGGACATATGATAAAAAGTTCCCCACAAGATAAAAGAAACATAATCCCTGAAAAGTCAGAGAGATGATACCTTTGAAAATGATCTAAACTTCTGAAGAAATTTTTAGTAAATGGCTTGGAATTCTCAATAGTACATAAAAAGACTTAGTCTTCATGAAAGAATAGTAATCTATACGAAGTTTTTAAATTTTATTGCCTGCTATGTGCCAGGCACCGAACTAGGTACTTGCTGAGAATACAGCAGTGAAAAAAACAGTGAATAAGGCAGTGGAACATGATATTGAAAATAATTCTGCTAGAAGGAGCTGAGCTGAGGGTATTTCTAGGAAAGTGAATGCTAAACTCAATCTCTAATATAGAGGGTTATCAGGGCACACTTCTTTCCAAAATCATAATGTACCACCTCTGCAATCTTTGCAACTGTGGCTAGCATTAGTGCCTAATTCATTATTAATCCAAAGTTTACCCACTATACTCCATACTGCATTACCATTAGTGTATAATTTAACCCCTAAAAGAACTCCATGTTCTTTTATCCTCGGAAAAACAAACCTTTCCTTAGATTCATAAGACTTTCCTCTGTAAAACAGGATGGTAATGAGGACAGACTTTAGGATCATATAAAGGAAAACTTAAACATATAAAAATGTTCGTGCTCACTAAGCTTCTGATGGTTATCACACTATTACTCTGGCTGACCTAATGTATGGGACAAGATAAACGAAGTATACCAATAAGGAAAAGCGTATGCCAATAAGAAGGTGACAGGCTGAAATGAAAAGATACAACTTAGCCGAAAGAACAGAAGGACATATATAACAAGATAGGCAGGGTGGTGCACACCTGTCATCCAGCCCTGGGAAAGGTGAGGCAGTAGGATCATGTACAGGAGCTTAGCCTGTACTATACACTGAGTTCAAGGTCAGTATGAACCACATCTCAAGACCCTGTCTCAAAAATTTAAACAAGGTGCCAGGGATATAGCTCAGTGGCACAACCGCCTGCCTGGCAAGGGCAAGGTCATGAGTTTGATCCCTGGTGCAAAAAAAAAAAAAAAAAAAAAATCAAAACAAAAGAAACATTAACAAAGTAGAGATAGCGGTGTGGCTCACTGGCAGAGAGGGCTTGTGTAAATAAATGTACAAAGTCCCAGGTGAGATCACCAGCACGCGTGTGCACACACACAAAAGACATAAGCAGTATCAATTAAAATTCATACAGAAATCAGGAAAGCACAGCAATAAAAGAGTGGGAAATGAGTCAGTGAAATGTTTTTCCAGGATTAAATAAAATTAGATAGACAAAATAATGAAGGAAACAAATTTAATACCACTGAAGGAAAACAAAAGAAAAGATTAGAACAAACAAGAGAAGAGCAACCTATGGAAGATATAATACATGAATAACATTTTGAACAGAACAAAGATCTTTTTTTTTTGTACTGGGAATCAAACTCAGGACCTCACACTTGCCAAGCAGGTGCTGTGCTGCTGAGTTATATCCCCAGCCCAGAACAAAGATCTTGCATGCAGACTGGAAAAGTTCAGTATATTTTCAGGAAAATTAATTTAAAAAGCCAAACTTGCACACATTTTGACAATACTTTAAAAAAAAATTTATTTTCAGTTATGTAAGCATATATATAGATTTCCACAAATGTTTAAGAAAGCCTTGTCTATCACTGAAAACATGTTTTATATATATATATATATATACACACACACACACACACACACACACACTTACATAACTGAAAATAAATATATATAACTATATATATATATATATACTTAAAAATTAGCTGGAACACTAAAATCAGCTCAATGTAGCATAAATTTAAGTAATTCTTACAAATTCAAACACCACTAAATGTGGTAACCTGAAGGGAAAGCTCAATGCATAGGCTAAAAACCCTAAAATAGGAGGCCAAATCAATACTTTATAATAATATTAAAGCTCAGAAATTCAGCCTTAATACTAAGAAATAAAGACAAACCATAAGTTATAAAGTTAAAACTCCTGAGCGAGGTATGGTGGCACATGCGTGTAATCCAAGCCACTTGGGAGGCTACGGCAAAGAGGACTACGGCAAGTTCAAGGCCAGCTTGGGCTACATAGTGATTTCAAGGCAAAACTGGACCACATATCGAGATCCTGTCTCAAATAACAAAACAAAAAATAAAAAACATTAAACCAGGCATGGTGCTGCACCCCTGTAATCCCAGCACTCGAAGGTTCAGACAGGAGGATCCCAAATTCAAGCTTGGTTGGGGAACTTAGTGATTCAGTGAGACCCTGTCTCAAAATAAAAAAGGCTCGGGATGTAGCTCTGTGTAAAGGCCATGGGTTCAATTCCCAGTATTATAGAATAATAATAGTAGTAACAACAACATGCTGGAGATATAGCTCACCAGTAAAGCACCTGTCTAGCAGGTGTGAGGCCCTGGGTTCAGCGGTTAGCAGTGGGCGGGTGTGTGTGTGTGTGTGTGTGTGTGTGTGTGTGTGTGTGTGTGTGTGTGTTAGGTAAGGGAATGGTCATCTTACAAAAAGTTAACCCTCAAGTTCCTCTTGTTTCAACTCCATATCTCATAGTAACGTGTTCTGTTCTGGTTTTAGTTTGTTCTCTCCAGTAAGCAACTACTACTATTACATTTTTTAAAACTGCACTTCTTAAAAGGGAGCTACAGGCAAAAAGAACATCTGGTGATTTGTATTCATTTTCAGATTCTTTGAGATAGCCATTAAATATAAGGATATACTGGAAAGCACATATGGTGAAAGAGTGGGTGGCCACTTTGTAAGAAAAGGGAAGGTATTAGTGGTTTCATCAGTCTAGAAAGGACAACACTGAAGGGAGAAGGGCTGCTTAGCTTCAAATAGATGATGGTTCGAGTGTGAAAAAGATGAAGTTATTCTGTGATGCTGAGGGTAGAAGGATCAGTAAGAAGTTACAGACAGAAGTTTAACTCATAAAAAATTAATAAACTGAGATTTCCAATAATGACCCACAAATGTTAAGAAAGCCTTGTCTATCACTGAAAGCATGCAAGCAGAAAAAGCAAAATCACCTGTCAAGTAAATACATAAATGATTAAGTGATGCCTCTCTGTGACGGTTCGTCTGGACATGTTCAGGGCCTTTTAAAAATCTGTAATTCCATTGATGCACCTATCGAAAAATTCTTTCTCTACCAGAAAACTACTTGGAATTTCTGAATGACTAGAATGAAAAAGAAGAAAACAAATCCTGAAGACTGATTTTTAGTGGCCCTGATGTTTTTTTACAGAGCTCCTGGTCTCCTGTTTTGAAGAATAAAGAATTATCATAAATAATAA